GAGAGAGAGAGAGAGAGAGAGAGAGAGAGAGAGAGAGAGAGAGAGAGAGGTGGGGATGAGTAGGGCGCCGAAGGAGAGAGGCGCGGTGGGCAGGCGGGCTGACCGCAGGTTATACTGAGGCAGAGAGTGTCTTCGTTTGAACCTGCTGAAGAGAGGAGGGAGAGGGAGCGAGAGGGACAGTGCGGGGGAGAGAGAAGGGGAGGGGGAATGTGGGAGGAGGAGGAACATGAAATACAACAATAAACGGTCAGAGCAAAAGGAAATGAGGAAAGGGCGTGTGAAAAGAAGTAGGAGGAATTGTTGATGAAGGAAAAGTTGGGGGCCTAGCCGTGGTCAAGGTGGGCATCACCCGCAGAGAGCTCCTTATAAATCCGACAACGGGTCCTCGGCGTTATTGAAAGGGTACGCTTTGGGACCAGTTAAGTATACCGTGTGGGATAGGGGACGATGCGATAGTAGTAGTCGAGTATATCTCGTGCTGGGCGCTGCGACTAAAATACTTGTTCTCCAATGCAAGCAAATGGTAGTACGGGAGGAGGGAGTCATCATGGAGAGATTATTGCGCAGATAATTAATGGACCAGTAGTTCACACGCACGGGGTCAATACGGCGTCTGCTGGCGGGAGGAAGGGTTGCACCTCCACCGTAACGGTAGAGGAAGACCGCGTAAAGTCTCCCCCCCCCTCCTGGTGATTAATTTCCCCGTACTACAGCGAGGACGCCGTGCTGGGCCGGGGGCCGGGGACGTCGCCGCCGTGGACCGGCGGACCTGCGGATGGCACCTCCTCGGTGTGCGGCTGCTGAGTGTGCGGGCCGAGGAGCAGTGGGTGAATGACCCCCACCCCCTTCCCCCGCTCCCCGGCCGCCGAGAAGCCTCGCTACCGGCCAGTCCGAGTGCCTGTGGTAAGAGGAGTAGGGGGAGTTACGCCCGGCGTGCGTGTGTGCGCGCGCAAGCCCGTGTTGGTTAGAAGATTCGGGCCTGCTCCTTGGTGCACATGTCTGCTGCATCTCTGCCCGGTGCGCCGCTTGGGCTGGGCTCTGGGCCGGGCAGCAGCGAGACGTTCTCCCGACCCGGTGGACCAGGCACGCTGTACTGTGGAGCTATTACAATAAAAGTAAGAGTGTCCCGCAGGCATGTGGCAGAGGCGGGAGGGGGTAACCGCATCTCCTCCAACTTCTCCTACTCTTCTTCTCGACCCTCTCATGCCTCCCTTTCCTCTTTCTCAGATGGTCGGTCCCATCCCGTTGCCTACCCCGCCTTTTGTTTTCTTTCATACTCAGCCGTGGACTAATGTGTGGAGCCTGTCTCAAATCAATAGGGTATTTCAGAGCTGGACGAGAAGAAGTAAAATGGAAGAACAAAACGCGCACTGCTCATGCGCAGACGTGGAGTGGGGGAAGCTGGGGATGGAGTGGGGGGCATCTGCTCATGCGCCGTGCGCCTTTTGTTCTTCCATTTTACTTCTTCACGTCCAGCTCTGAAATACCCTATTGAAATACTAAGCAAGCGGATAGATAAATAGGACATTAGTGGAGTTAGCTTCTCGTGTTTGTTAGTAAAGTGGCATCAGTGGCAACTATACTTTTTAGACAGTCCTCTAAAGACTGTCTCTACCAGAGGGCAAAGTAACGTCGTTTTGCTGATACTGTACCGCATGTACGAGTGTTAGCGAAGGTTGCCTACTCGCTAGGCGCATCAAGGCGCCAAGACGAGCGACGGTAGGCAAGCCCACCGACCGCCTGAAAGGGAAAAAGTATCTAGTATTTCAAGACTCGGTCTTGGATACCATTGGCACTCTCCATAAGATCCAAAACAGAGTCTTGCAATTTATGGAACATTTTTTACCGTTCGCACGCGCGCATGCAGTACAGTAAAACAAAAGTACATGGTCTATGGTAAACCCGAGGGGGAAATAACTACACGAAAATTTGTACGACTCATTTTCATTTTCCTCATCAAGCATTTTCATTAATTTTCATGCATTGCCCCCATCATGTGCTTATCAACCATTATCATGCATTTCGACCAATATTCAAGTATTTTCATACATTATTGCCACTATCCCACAGGTATTTTCGGGAATTATCGTCCATTAGCACATCACCCATTATAATCCATTACCGAGCATTCTCGTTCATTTTCACGCATTACCCCCATTATCGGCATTATCAGCCATTTCGTTCATTATCAAGCATTTTCACCTATTATCAAGCATTTTCATTCATTAACACGCATTATCCTATGAGCGTTATCAGTCATTATCAGGCATTATCGTCCAGAGGGGTGTGGGGGCGTGGTGGGGGATAGGGTGCTTGGACTTGGCGTATGCCATCTCGGACTTCACATGGATTATGAAATTCATGAGGAACTCCCCCAATAAGATTCCAGAATCCCTCTGGATTCCGCATGAATCCATGTGGATATTATAAACCAGTCTGGATCGGGAATAAACCATAGAAGTGCAAAACCTCTGGATATGTTCCACATTATACTTGAAAAGTATTACACATAAAAAATAGACATACCAAATAGAAAATTTCCAATAGATAATTGTCAAATGTGCAAGCAGACAATTTAATTTAGAGAGAATTCAGCGTGCGGGCAACAGATATGCCCGCTTAGACACAGTAACCCTAGAATATTAAAGGTTTTTATGTAATGGCGATTACTTCGAAATGTAATTATGGTTTAATGATAAAATCGTAAGAACAACTACATCCTGTAGAGATTCCATCAGAGTTTACAACACATACATTATCACATAGTTGGTTTACTTAAAACAGGTTATCAGTAAGTAAAGTACGCGCTAATCAAAATAAGTGTTGACTGAGAGAGGTGATTCTTATTCGATAACACACATGAATTGAATGTGAGGCGCTCTCGCAATTGTGATGAATATTGAAATGTGTACAAAGAGCAATTTGGGAGGGGAGGGAAAGGGGTGGTAGTATCACACTCAAATATTATCTCATTAACAAATAGCTAACTATAAAGTAAAGCTTCAACATTAAGTAACAAATTACATACAAAATTATAAAGACAATGGTATAGTGCCTCGGCATAGGCCGTGCTCCCCGTAACAATATTAATCATACTTCTTTGCTATGAAACAAAGACTTATATTATTACATGTGATTGCACAGCCACTAATCGTTAAAACCAATAATAGTTTAAAACTCAATCGATTTCACTCAAAACATAAAACAGTACACTGTACACTAGAGAACTTAAAATAAATTATTAGTACATAGAGGCGGGTAGTTACTGTCATGGACTTTGCAATTTCAGTTATAAAAATATTATAAAAATATTTAAAAAGGGGAACTGTGTGTAAATGAGCTGTTTTAGTACGGAATATGGGCTTCGCTAACAAATCTTTCCGTTAAAAACAGATTTAAAAAAAAAAAAAGATGCAAGAAAGGAAAGAAACGTTGCCAGCTAGCCGAAACTCGTAGCAATAGTAATAGAGAACACACTCACAGTTGAACACACAATATCTCATACACGATACTGCAGACTGTTAAATATAACAGGCCGACTCTTCGGTTCCAATAGTACAGTTCTGACACTTGACTCTTCTATCGTGAATTTGAAGGGCTGGTAGCCCTACCCTTAAAGCTTGCATCGAGATCGAAGCGCCGACACGTCACTGCACTTTACATTAGTTTGCCACTCTCAAAAGGGATAGGAAAAGCAGGGCGCATAGCGGTGTTCTGTGTCAGAAGAGTGGGCACCCTTCATGCGAGTATAGCGACAGTCTCAGTCTGCTACTCGGCACTGGGAAGGGATCGGGACTCTTGGGTTTTCTTTGACGCGGATAGCAGACACTCATGCAACATCCAACGTAAACGCGTAGAAATCATCGTAGACACTTCTGTCCTGGTACATGAGAACGGAGCAACTAGATTAAGAATCGACACATGGACGTAAATCTCATGCTACGAAGCCGTTGCTGTTAACGCTGTTGTTTCTCGCCGGATCGTCCACGCTGCCTGAAGTCGGAGGTTGGATGGACGCTGCTGAAGACCGGCATTTTCTGTGTAAACAGGAAAGGAGGGGCGTTCATTCGAGGGAGGCAGTTACTGTTAGCGCCACTCTAGCTACTAGTAATGAAATCCTTTATACATTGTGTACCGTACTAGATCGCTGTACGGCACGCAAGTCAAAAGATTTGCCTATCCACCAGGCGCGATGTGCCGCTCGGTACCATAGTATCATGCATGATGCTGAATGGGTTGCCGTACTCTACGGCGGCATAGGACGACCGCTCCCCCCATTTAACCCTAAGCAGAGGCACTAATGGCTCTTACACCCAGAAAAACGATTTGTTGTATGAAGAACGTTTTCTTGACATAAGCAAATGTGCTTGCTGATTCAAGTTTATTGCATAATCCCAAATCCGCTCTTTAATCCACAAGTGCATTGCGTGAAAAATTGTGTACAATATCACGTAATCCATATAGTATTCGGTGTTACGCTAGTATTTGATAGTATAGCAGCCTTAATTCAGCAATTTTAGTCGTTATTTTATTTATACATGTGATCACTAGAGTCGAATCAAAACACACAAACGTAACGATATTACAAGTGTGGGGGTCACAGTAAAGGGCAGTAGGGATTTGACTGTTCACTGTTTCAAAAATGCTGGAATTTCACAGCTAATCCTTCGCGAAAAATGCTGTCAGGACACTTCGTAAACTCCCAATCTTCCTTTGCGATTACAAGGAAGTGAGTGTGGGGGATTCACAAATGAAGATAGTGGAGAGAAGTCACAAGAAAAGTATTTAAAAAATGATTGAGCGATAGCGAAGCCTATTACTCCGCTATCGGCAAAACCCTTTTTTCTACTAGGTAAGAGCATAAGATGCGCGTAGGCGTACAAAATGCGCGCAGGTGTATAATAAAATATTGTTGATGTGCACATAGCAGCTTGAATTGCGCATTAGTGATGGGGCACAACACTAAATGCTCAAAAAAGCAATTATGCCGGTCTTCTGCAGATAGCAAGCATACATAACGCCTAGCCTGTGGGTTCCTTATAAAGTAAATGTTCGAGGACCCACAAGACGGTATGTATACACGTGAGAATTGGTAGAAACTATATCCTTGTATATCCTTTCTATTAAACTATTGGGTTGTTTAGGGCGGTAGAAGGCGAACATCAGACTCTGTGCTCTTCAGTATTGCCTAACTCACCTGCCCATGGCCTCGCTTTCCTCGATGGTCTGCGGCATAGGGACGTTGGCAGTCTCTGGCAGCAGCAGTGCAGTAACTCCGCCAAGGAGCGAAACGGTCCCGATCACCGTCATGGGCACCCAATCACCAAACATATTCTACGTCAAACAGATCATAACTTTGTAAGTAAAACGTGAGACGCTTGCAGAATTCAGCCGTCAGAAGCATGATCCATTGTGAAATGGTCCTGCGTACGCAGCGCTTGTACCCACCAGGCTCCACAGATAAGGGGTGAGCATGAGTGCGACACCAGCGGGCACGTTACTAGCGCCCACCCCGACATTGCGCACTACTGTGGGGAACAGCTCTGCAGTGAACACGGGCATGATAGCGTTGCTGGCCGACGCTGAAAACTTGGCCACCATAGCGAGTGCTGTGCTCACCCACTCTGTAGAGTCACCTGCACCGATCAAAATCCAATTAACTATCATAATACACACACACACACACACACACACAGTTCAAAAGATCCTACTGGGTTTACCAGCCTGGTAATTGATTTTGCTAGTTAATGGGCCAATAAGTTAAAATCAATAAGTAGGGAGCGAGTGGCCCACGCCGTCAGAGCAAATGGGTTTACTAGCCCGTATCACTCGGAGCCATAGGCACCATACTCAGAGACGATAGGCCGATAGGCAAGCCAGCACGCCCTCAGTGCGATCTAGTGTACTAGAGTACTAGCGTAGTCGAGTAGTAGTGTAATAGTACAGTTGACTAGTAAACCCATTCGCTCGATAAGTAAAAAATTATCAGTTCAGAGGGTTAACACATTTAACGACTATCCCCACACAACTTGCTGTCAAATCGTTGGCAAACAATACAAGTCACGTCCGCGTAGTTTTACCTTTGGGGACGAGCAGCGTCAGGAGGCAAGCGACTCCACCAACGAGCAGTGTGAGGCAAAACGGCCAGCGCCGGCCCATTTTCAGCAAAATCAGAATGCTGAGAGCGATGGAAGGCACCTCTACCAACCCTGCAGGAGTAGAAATACAGAGTGTTGAAACCGAAATGAGCATGAGCACTAAAAGGGAGGCTGCAAGACGATTCCGTACCAGAGATGACAGTGTTTACATATTGGTCGCCAGCAAATTCAGTTATGTTGAGCACCAGGCCATAATAGACGAGATACACTGAGAACCAGATGACGTAGAGCAGCAGCGATATCTTGCGGATGTTCGGCGTGCGGAAGAGGTCCATGACGCCGGCAGAGTCCTGCCCCGACATACTGGAACTCTCCTGCGTCCGGGTGCAATGATTCAGGTTACTTTAAAAAACATTTCTACTTTCAAACTTTTGGGACCAACTACGGTCTGTGTCCGAAGCACGTGCCATGTGCCGACGCCCTGCTCTCGCACGTGCTTCAGCAATAGCCGGCCGGCACGAGCAGGCACCGCCGGCCGGGTACTTTACTCTCGTATAAAGCGGAGCAGTTTTGATCGCCTTGAATCCATCTTCCCGCCACTGAGCGGTCCAGAGTTGAGGGAGGAGAGAGAGAGAGAGAGAGGAGGGGAAGGGTGGGGTGGGGGAGAGAACCGGTTCGGATATGGTGGGCTCGGGGGTCAGGAAGTCCACGACACAAACGTTTCCGCGTAACTCCCAACTACTTTGCGCCTCCTCCCACTCCCTCCCCCTCTTCTCCCACTTCTGACAAAAGGATCGGGTCGGGCGGAAGCTCTTGTGCATCGCAACTGGTGCCGCGCAACGTCGCGACCAGCCACCAGCCAGCCCGCGGACGAGGACCACACCCATACGCATTTTGTTTGACAGACATTGAAAATGAAGGAGCCTTGTCTACTCTAGAGGATTGGTATAGCTGTAGGTAGATGGAGAGGAGAACTATGCATTCAAAGTATAATATAGTATGGCATAGATTGTTTTACACCCATTCCAACTAAAGATTGTAATAGAATTTTTTTTTCGACAACAGTCGAAGAGAACAGAATTACAGCCTACATATTTGTATTCTTGTAATATCCCGTGCAGCTTCTCGAAGCTTTGCGCTGCACGTCACCTTCACCTTGCCCTGCCCGTGCCTCTCGCCCAGCCCGTTCTGTTCGGGATGTTGACCCCACACGCTGCCACAAGTCCCTGCACAGGAGGCAGTCTGACAACCCGAACACTCATGACCTTGCTATATACCGCTTTCACTAAGAGTGGCGCCGAGTGACGTAGAGCGCGCGTGCATATATGAGTGCGCAATGCGGCGCCACGGCACGCCTCACTACGTTTGCCTGCTAGGCAGAATGTCGTGACTGGGTGTCATTATCAAGCCTTACCCAACATTTCTTGCCCTCCCCCTCAATAACACAACGAGCAGCAAAAGCCCCAACAATCAAATTCTAACAGGTATGAGATTAGGTATTATCATAAAGCTGTTCCAATTGGTGCTGGGAGCATTTCTTCAAAGTTGTATTTCACTTTTGCTAGTTATACTGGGACACCTATTCCCTTGCACTAAAGGCACCATGGCCGGCAAATCCATCCTCTCTCTGGTAATACAAATGTGCAACATTTGGACACCGTTACGAGTGCAGGTCATGATTTTGCACATTACATGGTTGCGACACTTTTCGAAAGTTTGCACACCAATTGACGTATAATCTAGTTAGGCACCACAATGTGTCTACATTTTCAAAATCAATAATTGACGTGCAAAATTAGGCACTTGTTTTGCCAGTGCTTGCCTGCATTTCTGTACAGTATAACTACAAAAGAGGGCGGAGCAAATCAGCTTCGTGTCATTAGTTAACTAATATACTCACTGTAGAGCCAGTAAATTAATTGTAGTTTTAGCATGCTAACCTGCTGCAGGTGCTTGTCTAGGCTGGTTGGAAGAACCATACGGTTGGTTCTCGCCGCTTCCTGCAAGATGGGTATGACGAGATCCTTACGGCCAACCGAAAGGAGCCATCGCGGGGACTCAGGCATAATCCTGGAAGAACAAGTTATTGTTTTAAAAGCTTTTCCAGCAAAGATAACAAAATAACGTCAAGGTCAAACGTGATAGGGACCATCTTCGAGCAATGTTGACGACGTTATACCGAGTGGTCCACAAACCCCTTCCTTTAATTTGCCTATAACTGTACCGCATGCAGGCGTGCGCGCACGATACTCAAACGGGGCCATCAGGCGCCGTGGTGGGCGACGATAGGCAAGCCAGCCCGCACGCTTGCATACGGTGCAGTGTAAGCAAAACGAAAAGAAGGGGTCTATAGACCACCCTGTGGCCACACATCGTGTCTCACGTAGGTAGCGATTCAACATTTCACAAAAGCAACTAACTGGTAAATACAATTCATTTTTGACCGTTTTTGATAGATTTAGATACATCTTAGACACCTCAAGAGACGCGGTGTCGACTTATCGAAAAATACGGTAAGATCAGAAAACGAAATAACTTATCAATCATTACCAAAAGAAAGAGAGCAGAAGGATGGCGGGCAGAGTGATGGCGAGCTGTATGGCCCGCCAGCCACGCACCATGTAGGCGATGCCGGCAATCATAATGTAGCTGAGCGGAACTGGAAATAGGTACGACACACCAGAAATGGTGCGCCACTTACCACCAACTACCTCCATACCTGTGACAAACAGATTTCTTGAGTGCTTAAGGAGTTCTAGAAGAAAAACAGCCTCGCATTAGCAAGTTGAATACCTACACAGCACGAAACCACTGAATACGATGCCAACCGAAATGAAGCCCAAGCAGAAACGCAGGATGCAGTGCATCTCGAACCAGGGATTGAACGCAATAATGGTGCCGAACAAGACCTGGGCGATGAGGGAGCTTAGCAGTGTCTTCTTGCGGCCAAACCTGGGGGAAACCAGCGAGGTCAGTGTCTTAATTTCACTTCTACCAACTACGACACAGCAAACTCGCATGCGGCTGTGTCGTATCCCTTACTTGGCTTAACATGGTTAAAGATCTTCACTAACTGTATTTGAATGTTTTTGTGCAATCGCTAAGTTAAACCGACGGTACGTTTTGGCAAAATTGACCGCGAAACTGCGTATTCGAATACATGAAAGCACAAAAATGCCCAAATAAACGCAGGCGTGCAAACAATTAGATTGCTTAACTCTGTACAAATAAAAGGTAAAAATCCAGTAAGTTGGGGCTAGTTACCCGCCCAATCGAAAACACTATCTGGCCATGCTAATATTATATTAACGCTGTTTGTAAGAATTTTAAATTGCATAGATCTGTGATATGCTCTTCGATGCATTGCTTACTTGTCAGATATCATGCCGGACACCAAGCCTCCGAGGGCAACGCCGGCAAGGAACGTCATTTCGGCCACATTCTTCAGATGTTGCCTCGAGCAAACCAGGTCCCACTGGGCACAGAAAAGACAAACTTTTAGCGCGTTCCGAGGATTTGATTGCACGCCAGGGAGAACCAGTTGACAATAAAAAAAAAAAAATCTACTAAAATCACACACACACACATGATGGGTTGATACAGATAGGGAGAGGGCACCAACTTCGAGTATTCCTATTCACGAGAGAGTTAATATCTTCGCAATATTCACTTTTAGCCCGTTACTGACTTTATTCTAAGAGCGGGCAACGAACTTCTTTGTGCAGCAGTGGTTACTCACAAATTTTGTGAGTAATATTGTTAATTTTGTCAATACTTCCGTTTTTTTTTAGTGGACTTAAAATGACTTCCTAATTGTGCGTAACAACTTTCAAAATAATTCGTATTACTCACAAAATTTGTGAGTATTACTGCTGTGCAAAGAAGTTCGTCGTTCTATACGAATTCGCTTGTCCCTATCGCAAAGCACGCACGGCGCTCCGGCGCTGGCGAAACCACGCAACTCCGCGGAGCCTCCGTCAAAGCACGCACAGCGGTCCGGCGCTGGCGAAACCACGCAACTCGATTTTTGGGGTGATTTTTGAGACCTATACCGTTGGAAAGAGGACGTTTCCCTGTTCCAGAATATATAGTTATCTCAGATTTTTTGAAAAACATCGATACGTGGTTTCGCCAGCGCCTAAGAACTTTGCGTGGTTTCGCCAGCGC